CCAGCTATAAGTCAGTGGAAGCTAAATGCTTCCCATTGTTTCTGTGCAATCGGGAGGTTCCGCGCCCCCCTCTGCTTCAGAGCCAGCCTGGATAAGGCTGTTCTTAGGTACACAGATGCCCAGCGAATTCAGGAGAATAATCCCAGTATTGACGCTGCAGACGGAAGCGGCATTCCTGCTCCTTTCTCACATCATCTGTTTTATGCAAAGCTGCAAATACAGCTTTTGAATTGCATAATCCCGCCTTTCCACCATCTGTCCTTGTGGAAATCATCTCTTGTTGACACAGTTTAGCTATACGTTGGGCCTTCTTTCCCCCCTTTCCTTTCCCCTTTAATCAGCTATATTGAGCCTATGGCTATGAAGGGAGCTTACGGTTTGATTCACTGAAATCACCATATCAGCTGAAACCACCCCATTTCGTATTCCATTTACAATGTTTCCAAGGAAACAAAGGCCTAGGACATAAATAGATGGCTGTTAAACATTTGCTCATGTGCGCCAGTCCTGATGATTTGCAGGGCAGAAATATGAATGTTAAATCAACAGCAATAATGAATTTTAATATAGGCAGACCAATATTTTTGTTACAATTAAAAGAATCATTCATTATGATATACAATCAGGCAATGCCGGGTTATTTGTAATTTACATTTTCTGCTTACGGTTTTTCTCTAACATAAACAATGTGCCTGATTCTGACCTTACTTAAAGTCATGTAATTTCATTGACTTCAGCAGAGTTACTCCAGATTTTCTCCAGCGTAACTGAGATCAGAATCATCCCCAGCGTTTCTTTATCTCTAACATTCACCCTAATGTAATAAAATGGGTTTTTTTAATGCCATGATCTGGTAATAAATGAGGATTTGGTTAGACTTGGAGCATTTCTCACATACCAAAGGGTCTGTGTGTGTGTGTGTTTGTTTCTGGTTCAGGAATCGTTTATTGGATGCTGCCTTTGACATATACTATGGTGAAGCACTGGAATGGGTTACCTAGGGAGGTGGTGGAATCTCCTTCCTTAGAAGTTTTTAAGATCAGGCTTGACAAAGCCCTGGCTGGGATGATTTAGTTGGGAATTGGTCCTGCTTTGAGCAGGGGGTTGGACTAGATGACCTCCTGAGGTCCCTTCCAACCCTGATATTCTATGATTCTATGTCACTGAAACCCTGAGACATTATGATCTAATGAAAGTTACTGCTAAGTTACAAGTGAGCCAATGCACCACCCATTCAAAACCTGTCAAATGTGCTGAACAGAACTCAGGAAATCATCACAAGAACAACCAGGCCAATAAGCATAAATACAACGCAACATCTATGTGGCCACCACACTGTATAACTGTATTATGTGATACAGTGGTAAGCAGAGTTTACGTACAATAATGAATGAAAAATGTCCTCTGTGAAAATATACACCCAGCAGGATTTTGTCAGGTGATGAGAAACATCCAATAGAACATGGTAGGTTAAAATGCCAGTTCAAGGGTTAGTAAAAACATTTCCAACATTGTCCAGTCCTGGCTGATGTAAATGTACCGGTAACTTCCCGACATCAGTTAGGGACGGGGCTCAGGCACTGGGTTTAGCACCATGTCTGAGCTTTCCCAGAGTGAGGGGTTGGATCTGTGTGTTTGGTTAGGGCTCATCTCTAACAGAGACCTATGTAAGCTACATCAATGGTTTATCATTTGCCCTTGAATGTGAGATAGAAATGGTCTGAAGACATCATACACTGTACCTCTCCCACCAGATTGTTCTTCTCCCTTTCACTCCTTCCCAGTCAAGGCCCCAAGCTGTGGGAACCTTCCTCCCTGCCCAGAGAGGAGACTGGGACAGGACACTCTTCCAGATCCCTTCTGCACTTTTTTGGCTGGCCAGAGGAGTTTGCTGGAGTCATTCACCCACCAGGACCGAGCGCCAGCCCCCTAGTCAATTCCTTTTGCACTTGAACTCAGATCTTCATGTTAGTGCCTGACATCAGCCATGAAGATAACCCGTGGATGCTGTTCAGAGAGGTTTGGCTCTTTTACTAGCCTCTGGTGATCAGTATTTACAACGGCTAGCATGACATATTAATAAAGTGGGGGCCAGTCAGTGGGATTTCTAAGTGGATGGATATTCCCTTTAACTCTTCTTACATTCCTCCACACACAGGGCCGTGTGCTCCCCTTGATGAGTTCAAGTAACTCCATTTAAGGCTAATGGAAGGTAACCTTATATATAAGTATTTTAGTATTCTAGCTGTGGTCCAGAACACTACAATTTCCAGCAGAAATTACAATTCAACTACAATTTACAGCAGTGATTTGAACTATTACCATCTCTTATTTTTTAAAATAAGGGTTCCAGTATTTGCTCCCATACAATATATTCTCATGCTGAGCTTAGCAGGAATTTACATCTTCAGCGCAGGCGGAAAAAAAGCATCAACTTCCCTCTTTTTAACACAATAGTAACTGGATTAACGCAGTTATAAATATATTTTGTTTGTAACCTCTTTGAGCTACTGCATCCAGGTTGTTAAAAGCAACTCCAGTTTATTCTAGCTTCGAAGGCTGCCTGCCAGTTCCTGTTAGGTGGTAGAAAGAACATTGTAGGAGTACAGTGACCGAGGGTCTTTGAAGGTTGATGTATTGGATATTTACTTGTGATTTCTTGTAACCGTTTGATCGCAGCGATTTTCATCTCTTTTTGTTCCAAGCTTGATTTTTGAGGAAATACGTAAGAACTTGAAAGACAAGAGCACGTATTGTCTGCCCCACTCGGTCCCCCTTTTGAGAGCTGAAAGTTATTAAAATGCTGTTTTCAGGGGTGGCTCCGGAGCCACGTGCGGCTCTTCAGAGGTTAATATGCGGCTCCTTGTACAGGCCCCGACTCCGGGGCTGGAGCTGTAGGCGTCAACTTTCAAATGTGCCAGAGGGTGCTCACTGCGCAACCCCTGGCTCTCCCACAGGCCCTGCCCCCACGCCACCCCTTCCCACCCCCTCCCCTGAGCCTGACATGTCCTCGTTCCTCCCCCAGAGCCTCCTGCATGCCACGAAACACCTGATCAGGAGGTGCGGGGAGGGAGGGGGAGGCGCTGATTGGCAGGGCTGCCGGTGGGCGGGAGGCTTTGGGAGCGGGGCAGGGGGGAAGCTGACGTATTACTGCGGCTCTTTGGCAATGTACATTGGTAAATTCTGGCTCCTTCTCAGGCTCAGGTTGGCCACCCCGGCTGTTTTGAACAGTAAATAGCAAAATAGGCAGGTTGCTACTAACAAGTGTGTCCTCTTTTTTTTTCTTTCTTTCTGAAATCGATAGTTGCTGGCTCTGTTTGTCTGAATCTGGGCAGCTGTTCCACCCCATTGGATATGAAATTGTCTCAGTTATAAATGGCCCTTGTCATAAAACCGTGCAGTTCTTGAAGCAGCAATTCACTTTAACTACCTGAGGTGTAAATGGAGTCTAATCCTTCTTATTACCACCTATCCAGTGAACAACCATCCTGTCACGCTGGCAGGACTGGGGCGCGAGCGTCAATGAACAGAGCCACCAGCATTTTAGAAATTTGGAGCGTGACCGGGTTTTTTTCCCTTCTGAAATGATTGTGACTGAAAACAGCCCCCACCCCCATCCCTGCAATATGTTTGAAGAGCAGTTCCAACTATTGTAGTATGAAATCAGTGCTTTCAAACACGAGCGTCAGAAATGCACACGGAGGTTTTGTGAAAACCTGAGAACAGGCTCGCAGGCTTTGGATTTCGATTTGAAATGATCCGGTTTTTCAGCACACAAAGGCAAAGGATGAAGCTATAGCCCCGCAGGATAAGTGGGCTAATCCTAATGTTACCCTAAGACTGCTAGAATGTGCTATAATACAATTACAACATCACCAGAGGGCTTTCTGACGGGGATTGATTAGACTTGGCTTACATTTCACGTGCCTTGCCTTTGCAAGCCAGCTCATTGTTGGTAGCTATTATGATGATCCTTCCTAGCCAAGTTAACATGTGACTAGGCACAGGAACCAAGCAGGTTTAGGGCCCATCTCTGCAAGGCACCAAGCACCGTTAACAGCTGAAGTTGGCACCAGCTGAGCTCAGCACCTTCTTGTGGAATCAGGCTCTTCAGTGGGACTAAAATCTTACTGAAAATGGGGCTCAAAATTCACGCTATCCCTGTGCTGTCTTGCATACTCACTCTGCTGAACTCGGATTGCTTCCCACCCTCATGACAATTTGTGATCATGAAGCACCGGTCTCATCTCTAGGCTGAAATAACAAATGACTGGCAAATATCTCAGGTATAAAGAGCTGTGCTGAAAGCAACTCAGCTGAGCTTGGGGGGAAGGGCAGACTGAGATTCCACTGAGAAAGGGCAGGTTCTAAGCAAGAAGATGAACATGGATCAGATGTGAGAATGCCACCTCGCTACTCTTCCTCGATATTCGCCTGTTCATACAGCTGAGGATTGCATTCTCCCTCTTAGCCCCACGGTATTGTACTGGGAGCCCATGTCCCACTGGCTTCCTCCGTGACCCCTAAGTCATTCTCAGAGTCACTGCTCAGTCTAGGACACAGTCGCCCATCCTGTAACTGCGACCTTTCTCCACAGCCCATGTTAGCAGCCTCTCGGGGCGTGCCTCTTCCCTTGTAACTTTAATTAGAGGCGACCACAATCTCTTCCATTCAAGACACAGATATGGTTACAAAATCAGGATAATGTCTCCTCCTCTTCCTCTTCCTCCTCCCTGGGCTTTTCCTTTTCATGGAATCATCAACATGCAGATGCAGGGTTGGGAGCCTATTTATAGCTCCTGTTTGGCTCAGCAAGCAATGCCAAATGGGATTTATTTCAACGGTCCCTTGGTCAGTCTCAGCCGTTCGTGACATCTTCTCAGACCCGTCCGGATGGACCTCGCTGTGGCGGGCGGGTAGGATTTTGAAGGGGCCAGATATTCCTAGGAAGGCGCTCGGCTCAGAACATCTTGTTTTGTTTTGTCTGCCTGTATTTTTAGCACGCTCACAATCTACGGGATCAGTCAGGAGGATGAAGCCATCTACCAGTGCATCGCTGAGAACAGCGCCGGCTCCACCCAAGCCAGCGCCCGCCTGACGGTGCTGTGGGCGGATGGGTTGCCTGGCCCTCCGCAGAATGTGAAAGCCGAGACGGTCTCCGCAACCACTGTCCAGGTATCCTGGAGCGAACCTCTGCAGAACACCAAGGAGATCATCGGTTATGTGCTGCACATAAGGAAAGCTGCAGGTATGGGACAAAAACCTGATGCTCCTTCTCCCAGGCACTTGAATATTATGGTGATGAGGGACATGTAAATGACTAGATAGAGAGATGATCCGGTTATCTCATCCCTGTCATCTGCATCTCCCTGAGGATTAATCTTTGTGTGCAGGGCAGTGACTAGGAGATAAGAATAAGCAGAATATCAGAAAAGTGATACCAAGCCTTCCATATAGCCTAATAGCTAAATATAAGGAACTGCGTTCTGGTATTTCCTCTAAGAGGGAAGGGAAAGTGAAGCTATATGGGCCCAGTCCAACTCCCACTGTGCGCAGAATCAGGCCCAGGCAAATGCAGTTCCGTGTTTTGATGCAAAACTACGACTTAGTAAACTGTCGCTGCAACATTTGTCCGTCCTGTCATTCCCTCTTAGGCAAACCTAATGGCTCTCTGCTTTCCCTTTCTTGTGCATTTCAGACCCCGTGGAGATGGAATACCAGGAGGCTGTTAGCAAAAGCACCTTCCAGCAGCTAGTGACCGATTTAGAGCCCTCGACCAGTTATAGCTTCTATATAAAGGCTTATACCTCCCGGGGTGCCAGCAAAGCCTCTGAAGTCATGGTGGTGAGCACGCTGGGAGAAGGTAAGGAGACCTAAAGCTTGCGAGATCTGGTGCTGGGAAACCTGCGGATAGCAACGCCATTTATCGGGCTGATAAATGTACTTGAATATTTTAGATCATGTCTTCATATTGTTCCCCCTTTTTCCTGCTCTGTATTGTGCTGTAGGATGTTACATAGAATTCAAGTGTCTCCTTATGACAAGGAGTTAATGGCCTTCCTTATTCTGGCAGTATTGTACTGGCAAATCACAAGCAGCTCACGCTCTATCTGACCCCCTATGCTACACAGCCTAACATTGTGTAATTGGAAGTTATTGAGGGTTTTTTTTTTAAATGTAGCTGTTCCTCTGTTGGTTGTGTGACCTGTTGCAGGTGAAAGGCTCTTTATTGTTTATAATGTACCAAAGGAGAGTCTTTTCCAGCAAGTGGGGTATGTTTGTGGATTTTCTCTCTGTCTTTGTCCCCATCTAAATACACTGTAGAGACCTCTGCGATATTTTGTGCTGTGTAATGCCAGTGGCTTCCTCACACGGCCCTTTTGTTCCCATTTCTCCTTACCCAGGGTCAGTCTCCCTTCTCCGGGAAATGAATGAGTTCTTTTGATCACCTCAGTGGGGCCTGACTTTGGGCGGCCTCGTGCCTAGAATCCCCCCTCACCCCCTCAATTCTGTGTGCAGGTCTTGCGGGATGAGGCCCTAGCGATGAAGGAAGTAAAGGCTATTTGCCAGGTGGTGCTCTGGGTCTCAGTTTGGAGCTGGTGTGAGCTGGGGTAGCTGCTTTGAGGGGGAGCATGAGGTAGAATAAAACCAGCACACCTGCATAGAGGGGATATGGAGAGCGATTGGAGCTGCTCCCGTGCCACTCACTTTCCTGGTTCCTGGCTCAGGGGGTGAGGCCGGGGCAAGGGTTGGGGCAAGGGTAGCCCTACGCTGGCAGCCAGCTACACGAGAGTAGCGCTGAAGCCAATGGGCGTTGAATGTCCAGCCCATCTCAGGATCAGGCCAACGCTGCATTGTAACTTTAAACCACTTGTTTTAACAAAGACTAAAGCCCAGGTCCTCCAAGGTATTCAGGCGCTGAACTCGCATTGAGGCTCTGGGCCTAAACCCCTACGCATGAAACAAAGATCTCCGTGTTCCCCCGGAGACAAAATATTGTAGTAACATGCGCACGGGCTCTGGTGTCTGCAGTCTGAAGAACACTGTAGTGTACTTTCTTTGGATGACACTGGTCCTCCTGAAGGCAGTTGATTAACAGCCCCACACAGCAAGTCCTCGCTTTACCCACAGAACAAGAAGTTTCCTTCCCAGCCACAAAGCCCTGACCTGGACTGACCGAATCTTTCAGTTCAACCTCTGGGGACTATTCGTACCTTGGCCTCTCTGTGGAGGTTGCCAGTTAGTGTCCCCAATGGGAAAGTGCTCTTTGTGATGGGAGACACTTGTCCACAGGAAACTGGATAGAAACCACCAAACCCTGTTTGACAGGCCACAGTCGTGAACTGCAATAGCTTTCAGTCACTGCCAATGTGCAGGAGGGTGCAGTGTTTTCTGAAGGGGCAGTTCTCTGAGCATTTCATGGTTTATCCCTTATTTGGTTTATTTGTCTCACAGCAAAATCTTCTTTTGCTGTGAGACAAATACATAGGAGGGGTGTGTTTTCCCTCAAGAAAGCACTCTGATTATGAATTTGAAATTGAAATATCAATGATATGAGGAGAAAGGGCCTATTTCAGATATAGTTGAAATAGGGCCATTGACTTCAAGTTGGTGAATCAGATCGTGACGCCCCTTTCAGTGGATGTGAACATTTGCTGTAGTATTTAAGTAAAAGGGCTAATAAATGGGCGGGCAGGGTAGATACCCTTCAAGGTTATGCACTCAGCATTCTGAAGTAAACCAGTCATCCTTTTCCTTTCAGCGTAGAGAGAGGGGGTGTAAACTTTAAATCCTTGACCCAAAGCTCTGAGTTCAGTAGCAGTAGCCAGCAGCCACGCATGCCTCATAAAACTTGGTGTTTTCTGGACAAGGTTGGGGCAGGCTGGGTAGGGCTTTTTCACATTATTCCCCTAAATCAGCACATGCACGTTTACGGATTTTGTATCAGGGTAATAAATTTCCGGGCTCTTTGAAGCTTGAAGGCATCATCGTCCAGACCTAATGTCTTTAAAAACAACATCGCCCCGTGTAACAAAGATTAACCACTAAGCTGCAATTTGTAATGGACAAGTAAGCCTGGCTAAATATCCCATTCTCCCTCCACTGAGTTTAATTCACGTTTCCCCCCCCCCCTCCCCAATTGCTGCTGTTTAAAGGGGCTCTTGTCATCTAGTTGATCTGTAAGATGTTGTTCTAAAAGACTCTCCTAAGAACAGAAACGTTTTTGTGACTTATTTTAAGTTAAGTGAAACCAGGTTCGGTTTGTGTTTTGACAAGGAGAGACTTAGTATACGTCTGATGGTCATGACCATGCTGCAGGTCTTTCACTGCGGTGTAGTGTAGACACATCTTTCAAACGCTAGATTCTGAGTTGCTCTGTTCCTGCCCTTGGTGGAGAAACAGAGGTGTGGGGCAGAGATGGCTTTAAGCCACCTTTGCAGTTTCCAAATTCTAGTACGGCTGAGGGCCTGCTCTACTTTCCACTCTGCTTCCCATTGCCCTCTCGGGACAGCCAGTTACGTCTCCCCGACTCTGAGGATCGGACCTGGTTTTAGCACCACGTAGAACAGCTGCTGCTTTAAGTTTCCTCACTGACTTAGGGGCTTGAATGGACTTTACACCAGTGGAAAATTGGCATTGTGGAGCTCCCGTCTGCCACACCCAGCTGTTTTCTGTTCAAGGATAAAATATTCTATCTACAGGCTGAAAGGAGCTGCAAGAACAGAATCTGTGGCATCCCAGTTCCATGAAAACGTAGAGCACTAGATGGGGATGATCACTGAGTGTAAGAGTGAAGCCAAGTTTATGTACCGTGGAACATGTTCATACGGATGCTTAGGTGGCTGTTTTGGTGAAATCTTATTGCCAGGAGAGGACCTATGCTGTCCAGGACTGTACGTGTCTGCAGAAGAAATGGGTGTGTTCGTCTATTAAAACTGACTAAAGTTACTGTGACGGGAAAAAGATGTCGTTTCCCCTCCATACGATATTCCATGTGCAATGTCTTATCTGTTGCTGTCAAGTTTCCCCCAGGATGGCTCTGTCATCCTGACTCAGGGACAGAGGAACGGTGACACTTAGTGTCGCTGCTACTAGGAGACGTATTAGATGCACTCAGAATCCTCTGCTTTGGCACGTCTGTTGCCCGTTCCTCACACAGCGGCGGCTTGCCAAGCTTTGTATCTTAAACAAAATAACAAGATGGATTTTGCCCTAGCTTACACTGCATCCAACCTCATTGTAAACCGTTGGGTCCAGTGCGTCAGGGCCAGATGTATCCCAGTAACTTCTGTATAGATATCAGAGGGGTAGCCGTGTTAGTCTGAATCTGTAAAAAGCAACAGAGGGTCCTGTGGCACCTTTGAGACTAACAGAAGTACTGGCAGAGTGAGGCTGAGATGTTAAGTCCGACGCCCGAGGACATGATAGTGAAA